TGAATAAATTAATTGTGGGGTTCTCCAGATGTAAGTCCAATTAGATTTTGATATTCTGATATGCTAGTACTAGTACCACGAATAAACAGTATATACGGAGTATATTTATAATAATCAGGATTACCCCTCACGACGTCACAAAGGCGGGGGGAGGAGAGAATTTTTTTTCTTTCCCACAGTTGAGAGGACGAAAGTACGAGAAAATAGTCCAAAAAGAGACCCTCTTAAATGAGCCAGTAACTTTAAATGGACCGCATATTAAATGATCAGTGTTCCTTGCTTCTGTCCTTCACCTAATCCGTCCTAGATACACATACAGCACCGCACACGCACACGCACACATCAGTACACTCGAGAGGGCGGCACCTTTGCCCTAATTCTTCTATACCTATTATCTATATTTATTTGACTATTACCCACAGCACTGGAACGAGCAAATCTAAGTCAAGGGGAGATACGCCCTTATATCCCTATCTCTCCATCTACATAATTTACACGTTGGATATTCCCGCCATTTAGGTTTCCCACATATATAATTTGTACACATAGTTTGCAACCAAAACTGCTCCATTCCAAGACATGACGCCAGAAACAAGCAGGGCCGATGGTGGCTTGCCCAATCTGAATCATATCCATGATTCCCTCATTGAGATAGCATACAAAGCCGGAGAGATCATCATGGGTGCTCTGCCCACTACGGATGGTGTCGGATCGAAGAAGAATAGTACGCACAGCTGAACGGTCAAGTATGTAATGGGTAAACCAGCTTGACTCACAACTTTAGGTGCGGATCTTGTCACCCAATATGACCGTGCAGTTGAAGAAATGATATCTACAGCGCTGAAGGACAAATACCCAGATTACCAGTATGTATACCATGCCCTCCGTCACTTCCTCCCAACTAGACTCTCATTTGATTGTCCGCAAAGTTATCGTATGTCACCCCGTAGATGTGGTTTGTTCCTTACTTCATCGCTAGGTTCCATGGGGAAGAAACATATGACCCAGGTCATTCCTTGACTACTGCTCCCACTTTTGTGATTGATCCCATCGATGGGACAATTAATTTCGTGCATGGCTTCCCTCATGCTTGTGTGTCTCTCGGGTTTGTCATTGACCGGGTTCCCGTGGTTGGTATCGTATACAATCCATTCGATAACACCCTTTATTCTGCCATTCGTGGCCAAGGGGCGTTTCTGAACCGCAGTGTCAAACTTCCACTCAAGGGAATAGACCTTGAGCCACTGCAAGGCCTGGAAAACTCTCTCATCGGTGTTGAATGGGGTTCCGATAGAAAGGGGAAGAATTGGGAAACAAAGGTGCGAACCATGGAGAAGCTCGGCCAAACTAAAGATGAGGGCGGTGCAATGGTTCGTTCGATGCGTAGCATGGGTTCGGCCGCACTCAACCTCTGTGCGGTGGCCGCTGGCACTCTTGACTTGTACTGGGAAGGCGGCTGTTGGGCGTGGGATGTGTGCGCTGGCTGGGTTATCCTCACTGAGGCCGGTGGTATCATGGTTGACGGTAATCCCGGCGGGTGGCAGGCCGTCATAGACGGAAGGGTCTACCTCGCTGTCAGAGCTTCTCCAAGCCAGATTGGTCAAAGGGAGCTTGTTGAGGAATTCTGGGGAAATATTCAAGGGAGGCTTGAGTATTGACGTATCCGGCGTACTGGCACAAGCCTACTATCAATACGGCTGGTCAAAGATCAGGTCTTCACGTTTCAAAAAGAAAAGGTCAGGAAGAGAGCAGGAGAGGTGTGAGGGAGAAAGGTGAAGGTTCCCAGGCTGTGGGTTGAAAAACCAATGATATACTACTATACATTAGCGCATATACAGGGGAGGATACACCCATGTGTCTATGTATGTACATACAATGAACAGCGCTTGAGGGAAAACACAAATAGGGAGGGTGAAGTAATAAACCAAGCATAATCCACGATTCGAACCTCTACTTGCACGGAGAGTTTAGCCGACTTTCTTGGGATAAGCCGGGCCCGGTTTGATCAGTAGAACCAATCCCGGGGATCGGGCTGCCTGGAAGCCCTCGTGCGGAAGTCGAATCATCTATAGGGGGTTCGACTTGTCCTTGCACTTCTTCGCCTAAGCTATTTGTTGGGACTCCGAGTGGCCTTGCCCTCTCTACCCCTCTTGCGGAATCATCTTTAGATTGGGCCGCAGATGTATACCCAAAGTGAGTATCAACAAGGTGCTTTACCACAGGCCAACCATAAGCGTTCGTGAACATTCGTCGAACAATTATATTGTTGTGTGCATCTGGTTCAAGACGAACAAGCACTTTTCGCCACGTTAGGTCGCGATGATAAGCTCTGGCGATCTTCTCTTCGACTTTGAGCCCACTCTCACTCTCATTTAAGTCGCGATGTGGAGATTTATCCGATGAAGATGACCCTGTTTTTAAGGCCTTACTTTGGGAAGAACCAAACGTTAAGGTTCGTCTCTTAGGAGTCAAGGGAGGAGGTATGTCCTCAGGGCTATAGACTCGGTCATGGAAAATAGTCCGAGGTCTTGAAGTAGGATCAATTATAAATTCAATGGGAGGAAGGGGTGGCATGAGAAGATCACTGGCTGACTCAAAAAGGGTTGTCTTTGGCGGCGCATAAAGCCCATGGTCATCAGATGGTTGATTATCGGTATATGTCTCATGGGTAGGGGCACCAGGAGACGGTGGCCCCTGTATGACATGACTGGGTGTGCCAAGTGTTTGGCTACGTTTAAGCATCTTAGATTGCTTCTGCCCAGGTGATATTTTAACAGCTTCTTTTGGCCGGAATATAGAAAAAAGATTGCTCAAGGGGCCATAGGTTACAGGTTGGTTGTCATTTGGAGCTGCATCTATTGCCGTATCAGGCCAAATTGAATGTTGGGATCGATCTGATGGCTGATGATGGATCGGAGCACTGGCAGGCATCGTCGGTATGTCCTTGGGGGCTTTGTTTGTTTCCTCAGTATCTTTCCACTCCGACTCTGTACCTGAGCGAGCCGTCCGTGGCGATTTTGAATTTGCGCCGGTCAATTCGGCCCACCCCCATTCAGCCATTGTACCAACTATCCCATTTTCTCTCCGCGCCTTATCAACTCGTTCTAGTCCTCTCCAGTCAAGAAAAAGAAGACAAGAAGTCCTCAAAGGTACAATTCCATCATTGACCACATTAGAGTAGACTGTACGGTGTTGGAACTTGGCGAGTACTTCATGCGCAGGACCACAGGGAAGGATTCTTAGTAGAGGCTTTGATCCAGCATCTGATTGACCTTGTGGTTTAGCTGAATTGCCTTTCCCGCCAATTATAGCTTCCCAGCCACTTCTCACTCTAGGCGCTGTCCAACTAAGTCCTAGGTCCTGGCCCGTCCGACCAACCAGACCTAAGTCTAAGGCAAAGCGAATGTACATAGGGTTTTCGTTGCTCAAACCGAGGAAAGGAGTCGCTAAGGCGATGAAGTTAACGGGCCTAACCACATCAAAAAATTCAGGGGAATGTTTTTGGATGTATGCAATGGCATATGTCTGAATGAGCCCGCCGAGAGAATGGCCGATAAAGCTGATGCTGGTGACTCGGTAGGCATGACCCCCTCCGGTTGGCCCTGGCACAGAAGCCGTATGGTCCTTAGGAAACTCCGTCGCCGCGTTCCTCCAGGGGGCAAGAGATTTCGGTGGGGTCTTTGCCTTTGCATTGTGACAAGGATTGCAAGGCTGGTCTGGATATGTCATTAGCAAGACATATTTGGCGAGACGCTTGCCAAGATACTGAATTCCGCGTTCGGTACGGACTGCATTTCCGGGAAATCCTCTAACAACGACTTGCTCGTCGTCATCGTCGTCATCGTCGTCGTTGCTGCTCTGTTCGCTTTTATGCTTTTGACGAGCATTATAGGCTTGTTCCTTAGCTTTTCTGGCTGCAGTATCAATGCTCTCCTTGAGATAAAGCATGTCCGCACCAAGGTTGCTATGAAGGCCATGGGTCAGAACCACAAGGTGTATTTTCTTTCTACGCCTGTTGTTCTGCGACTGATCAATTGACTCGCTGGATCTCGTTGGTACTTCGGCATTGTTTGTTGGACTGCCTTCGCTTGGTCCCTTATCCTTTCCCGCCCCGCAGCTTTTGTCGAACGAAGGAAGGACGGGAGTGTTCCAGAGACTCACAGTATCATCTACCTGCAACGTTACGGATCTGGAAAACACCCCGTTTGTAGCAAACACTTGCTTGCCTTTCGCATTCGGTAACCAGTGGTCACTTAGTTGAGCTGATTGATGCCCGGTGGTCGACGCTGCACCAGAAGAATATAACTCCACTGACTTTTGGTCGCGGCCCACCAAAAGCTCAAAGTTGACGGATGCAGTGCTCGAAAATATCACTTGGGATAGTATCTCTATGATCCAGGTTACTTTCTGGTGACTTTGGGGCTCGGTAGAAGCGGCATCTGACATTTGACGAAGCCGCCGGGGCACGGTGATGACAGCATTCCAACTGCCCCCGGCTTTGAGATATGGTTCAAACTGCGGAATACCTTCGGTGGCTTGCTGATCGAGTTTGACATTTGGATCGAACGTGGATGGGTAGCAAGACGTATAGAGGGTATATGGGCCATGAAGGTATGCAGCTCGGAGGGGAATTGCAGATGTATTCTTGACTTTCACAAACAATTCCCCTGGGATGGAACTGGCGGTGTCGGCTCCCGGTGTGTATGTTACTGTGTACCTGTTTATAACAAGACTAAGGTCAGTAATGCGAATAGGAAAGCCTTGACTAAGACTATCATATTGATGGCAACAGACCTGACCACCTCACCCACACGCACACTGCCCGTCTGGTGAATCAATAGCATTTCAGCGGCTCTTCTATCATTGGTAGAACCAGTACTCCACCCGAAAAGCGAATGAAATCTGGGGCTATCCTCACTGCTGCGGGACTGTTGTCTTCGATCTGGTATCTGCGAAGCGTGATAAGTTCGAGGGCTGATAAGCATCGATACCAAACGCAGCTGTTCCCATCATAGGACTGGTCAAGATGGCTGTCGGTCGGGGAGGTTTTCTGGGTCACATGCATGAAAGCCTATGGCTCTCAATCAGAAATACTGGCAGCGTGTCTAGCGCTGGAGTTTGATCAAGGGTCTGATCAACTGTTGATAGCGAGCGAGTTCCGAGATGAACATAGGGAGTACTTGGTACAGAGGTACAGAGATACAGAGGTTATCTGTAGAAAGTACCGAACTACTAGTTGCGTTATTCAAGTTGCCCCCACACTTGCTGTACGTCAGAAGCCAATAATGATGAAGGAACCCCCTGTACAGTACTAGTAAGGGGTATGCAATCTGCTTTCAGGGTTCCATCTAACAGTACTGGTAGGGGTACCAGACGCTAGAGCCTAGGCGCCAAGTTAGGTTAGGTTATAGTGTGTTAACGAAGACTGGCTTATTAATTTGGCCAAGCTTTAATCCCGCCTTGGTACTATGTTCAACTCAATTTATTAGCCCTACTCCAGAGATACTAACCATTTGACAACCTGTACGGAGTACAGTAGGTATATTACAAGTTGTATTCAGCGGCGACAAGGATATACTTGAATAATATAAGTAGAAGAGATCTATATTATACTATAACTAGAACCAATTTATACCTTGTCAATTCCTTCATATATGGTCAACAATTTGATCCAGTCATTGACTGCGGCGCCCTAAGATATGCTCACTCAACCTGGCGCCAGATGAAGCAAGTAATCCATGTACTGTACATACATGCAGTACAACCAGCACACTAAATACCTGGAGTAATCACAGTACCATACTGAACCGAGCCTGCGTTATTGCTCGGCTGATCAAGGAATACAGCCAACGTGGATCGATTGTCTCCAGGACGGAATCAGTGGAAAGGCTAGGAAGATAAAGTAAGAGAGGTTTGGATATAGTGGGGGTTCTAAAGCATGCGACCCCTATACCTAGGTCATATACTTTCAGGCTCCCACTGTAGCCGTCTAATGAGTAAGAAAGAGGAAGAAGCGGGGAAGTTCTTATGCAACATACACGCTGAAATTTAAGACAGTGGTTTTAAAACTCAACGGACGTCAGAATATTTAATAGACATTCTGGCTCCTTGTATATCTCCATCCAGCCATCACACTCGACTGCAATGATTCTGCCGTCAATGCACACCCGTCTCCACCTCTCATCCGACTCACGGAATTCAATCTTAAGCCTCTCAATCTCCGAGTAGAAGACACTTCTGTCAAACACATGCTGACCTCCCTGATACGCGGAGGCCATTAACTGCATGGCTTTTTCGGAAGGTACCGGACCAAAGTGGATTATTCTCAAGCGACCGTCCAGTGGAACAGACTCGGGTGAGATCACGAACTCACGTTCAAGTCTCGGGACCATCGTTGCCAGCACATACATGTGTTCTTTAATTTCCATGATCTCCACATACTCGCTGTTAGCTTCACAATCCCACCTGGTGAGACTAATTGTACCGGCATATCTATGGCTCTCGGCACCGCTTGGAGGGAAGAGAAGTTCCTCTGCAGCCAATTTAAACCTATCAGCACCAAATCTGCGGTATTCAGTGGTATCACTATCGGCAACTAAGGCGGCGTGTACGCCCCAGCTTGCAACAACCGCACCATGTACCTTCGGAACTTCATACTTGCTTTTGAAGTTGGCACTTATACTAGCCCGAGCACGGCCTTCCTCGGTGACATATTGTGCGCCGGGTGAAAACTTGGCGCCGAAGGTCGGTAAAGGCCTCGGTCTTCCTCGCAGCAGCTCTTTCAACCAAGTTGTTGGATGTGAA